TATCTGTACTTCTATGCAAACGCTGATCAGATGAGTTGGAAATATTTTGAATTTATCAGTAGAAGTGTCTTCCATCTTGATAACTGTCCAAGTCTGTCATTTTCACACATGTCACTTTTTTAAAATGGTTATTTAAATTGTTTTTATTTATTTAAGATACATGCTTATAATCTGGAAACCAATTCCTGGGAGGAGATTACAACTAAACCTCATGAAAAGATAGGTTTGTATACTTCACATCATGATTAACTGTAAGCCTGTGCTATCCTTAACAGTAGTGCACTTTACTAAAATATCTGTGCTTTTGACAGGCTATCCTGCTCCTCGAAGGTGCCATAGCTGTGTGCAGATACGCAACGGTGAGGCTTGCTATACCAAAGAACATATTTCTGTATAGCCAGTATCACTTATTAAGCACTGTAATTTCATACTACATCCTCTCATTCTAATGTTTTTATATGTGAATCAACAATTTTCTTTATCTGCTTTTTCTATTGTAGATGTATTTATCTGTGGAGGCTACAATGGGGAATTGATATTAGCTGATCTGTGGAAAATCAACCTTCAGACTTTCCAGTGGAGCAAACTACCAGCAGTGATGCCCGAGCCAGCTTACTTTCACTGTGCTGCTGTTACCCCAGTTAGTACAATACCATTTCTTTGGATCAGTCTAAATTTCAAAGTAGCAAAATTACCTTAGTACTCACCAAACTCAGAATATAAATGTATACACAGAAGGTGAAATTACATGTTAGATAAGCTGTCGTGGGTTCCTAGCATATACTATATAAAAAGATGGACAAAGCCATGGTGACGTCACCTTCTGGTTTGCAGATTCTCTCTGTAAAGCCTCTAGCTGATGCATCTGTTTGTAAATCCAAACATGACAAACTGTGAGGACAGTGCTCACAGCAATCTGTCCATCACAGAGGAGTGATGCCCTAAAGCACAGCATGGTTTATCAAACCGTTTTACAAAATATATATATTTTACAAAGTGAATATCATTCTGGTATAAATAAATAATGAAACTGGTTATTTCATTATTTAATATTTATACTATGAGGAAAATATTTACCGAAATGTTGAAAATTCAATGAAAAGCAGGGTCATTTTCTTCTTTAAAAAAAAGAGGGGGAAAAATGAGTCTTATACAATCATCCCTATCCTGACTGTTAGTAAATATGGGGTTTTAGGCTTCACATTTCAGAACTCGAGGCTCCTTGACAATTTTGACATTGATGCACATTATTGATCAATTGTGGAGCTGTAGTAACTACAGAGGGAAGGAGTTCACGAGTGATGCCGTGAAGCTATGAGAACGAGTTGTGGAGGCTAGGTTAAGAAGAGAGGTGCAGAATGGCTTCACACCAATAAAGAGCTCTACAGATGCAATGTTTGCTTTGAGAGTGTTGATGGAGAAGTATTAAGGAAGAGGACTTGCACTTTATGGATCTAGATAAAACATTAAGTTATGGTGCCAAGAGAGGATCAGTGTTACTGCATGAACCCAGGAGTGGCAGAAATATGAGAGGGTGCTGCAAGATATGTGGTGAGGTGCGATAGATAGTTTCAATGTGTGGATGAGACCAGTGATTGGCTCTAAGCCCCTGATGATGGCTGGGTTTTTTTGTCTATATTTGTGGACATCTAATTTTGTTTTTGATGTTCTATGTTATTATA